GGAATATAGGTATAAAAATTGAGGTTTGTTATAGGTTTGTCGTTCTGTAGGTGTGTGCGAGTGTGTGCGCATGCGTTGGTTGGTCATCGATGTAACAGAAAAATAAGCCTTGTCCGTCGTCATTATTTCCAGTGATCCATTAATAGATCTTAACTACTTAACCGTGGTATGGACCCAAGGCAGGTAATGCCGGATAGGCGGGCACAACCGGTTTGGCCAAAAATGGTGCCGGATAGATTGGGGCAGGTGCCAAAACCTTGGCTACAGGTGCCAAAACTTTGGCTACCTTGGCAACACCTTCACGTTGAACAACGGCATTAAAACCACTTACAGGATCCACAGTGTATTGGACAATGAGGCGGGTACCATCAGGTTCGATCAAGGAGTAGGCACCCTTTGTGATGTCACCAGTACGGGTTTCTTGTTGGCTCTTAATATCGCCGGTTGTGGGATCCTAAGGACAATGGAATATTTTTTTGCTGAAACATTATCCTTCATAAAATCCTTCCCAACTTACATGAACATCGTAGTTGTAACTGTATTGAGGATTTGGATCATATGGCTCGGGACCAACAACTTTGGCAATTTTAGCTACTCCTGGATAGGCAGGATATGCAGGTGCTGGCAAAACTACTGCTGAGGCAACAGCCATCAAGGCACTGACAATCAATAACTATAATAACATGACAGGATAATTATTATATTTTGCTAAAGGACACCTCCAGCACAACTTGCCTTATGCATTATTGTAATGAGCTGCTCGACGTGGTCTGATTGGTAAGAGGTTTTATGCCGTTTAACTGCTAATTGCTGTTTGCTATTCTAGACTCTGTCAACAATTCCTTTTATACCGAACGAAACGTACTTTTCAATATGAAATCTGTTTTTCTTTTTTTTTCGTTGTATTTTTTGGGTGCCAGTTAAATTCAATCCCCTCCGATCCCGTTGCCAATAAAGTTTTAAATATTTATGCAAAAATGTTTGAAAGAACAGCAAACAAATAAAAAAATGTAGAGAAAAAATACACAGGCCTATTGCAAGTTGAAAGCAGCAGAACAACATGGGCACACCAACTTCTATGGCATTTTTTTGTAACGCAAAAGAAGAGAAAAACAAAAATCATTCGTGTTTTTCTTATTTCTCTTCTTTTTTTATTTTTTGCAAATTACAATTTTATTATTTTTTCGAGTTTATTTCTCATTTTATTGGCTTATGCAATAGACGTTGTCGCAGCTCTACTTTTTTGTCGTTACGATAATCTTGAAAACGCAAAGTGGGCCTAATATTTCATGATCATCCTACCTACTAACGTTTTGGGTTCGAATACTTTTATTTTCTTGGGCAAGTCTTTATAAAAATTGGATCGAGAATGCCAACAGATCTTCGATAGGAATATTATATGCGGTGTACTGTGGAGAAAGGTCTTCATTTATTTCATTGTAAAAACTTGTCACTTATTGATTCATGCCATAATGTAAACAGAAGGTCCGTAGCCCATGAATTGGTCCTTAAATTAAAATAGATGTTTAAATTCAATTAAGGAACCCCCTCTTTCTCGGGATCAAAAATTGTTTTGATTTAATTCGAATCTACACTAATTCAAGAATGTCCCTACAAAATTTCAAGAGAAAATCTCAAGAACTCTTGAAGATATAGCCGATTTATTGTGTCAGCATCAAGTGACGGTTGAAGGGCTTCTCAAACTTAAAACGCGTTTTTCTCTTTTCCGAATGGCGGGCACGATAACTCAAAAACTAATGACCCAATCGATTCCAAATTTTTACACGTTTCTCTTCCTTATTTTTTAACTTAGTTTTTGGTAAAAAATCGGCGATTTTTCAAAAATATTTTTTCAAAGGCCCGCCATTTTGTTAATTTTAGAGCGAAGTCAATAATCCTAGTTCATACGAGAGAGAGAGAGACATGTGCTCTTTCTAACACCGTTGGAATTTTCGGATTCCGATGTTCCAGTGGAGAGTTATCATGCCCGCCATCAAAAATAAGGACTTTTCTTTAATTACAAAAAACAACAACAAAACAATAACAACAATTTTTTGTAAATTATTTTTCTTCTCTTTTAAATCTTCAAATATATATTTGCAAAGTTACAAACAAGCATTGGTATTGATTTACCAGCCCATTGAAAATCTTGAAACATTAAAATCGGTAGGGGGGGGGGGGGTCCCTTAAAACTAATTATGTTTATTTGTTATCATTTTTGTTGGAGTCAGAGTTTAAAAAGCTACTTCAATCCGAATCCGGACAAATATTTAATCTCTGAGACCAAGGACTTCTCAGAGATGTGGATACCTATAATATATGGACCTATATTATAAAATACCTTTAAATATGGACCTATTTTGAGAAAAACCCTTAGTTGGACTAATAAAAAAAACTGTTTGTTTAGCACGTCGGCAACTGCATCCGTGTGAATGTTATTCAAACCAGCTCGATAGGCATATTGATAAGAGGTTCCATTTTATAATACTTCTCCGGCCACAGACAGACCTATAATTTTATAAGAGATCAACAAAGATTCCTCAAAGTGCAGTCGGGAAGCGGAATGAGAACCTGATTACTACTTTTCAACTTATTTGAGTAGACGATTAAAAAATGTTATCGAATGTATCTCAAATAATGGTGGGGTAGTTGGTAGTCGGAGGGATATGCGGTTGGGTAGTTATGTACCCCAAGTCTACGTGGCGAACAATGTGGTTGAAGATTTCCTGGCTGATATTTGCATATTCCTTACGAGGAAAAAGGCTTCTAAACCACAAGATAGCTGGAGTACCGGAAATGTAAAGGTTAAATAGCTTCGGAGATATTACCCCACCCTAAGAAACTCCCTGATGCATTCTAAAGATTTGAACTTCTTATTTCGGAAGTCCACGTATGACCGACGGCCACACATATAATTGATTATTCAACGTTTCCAATCTGAACGGAAGTATGGCATGGTGGTGACAGATGTGAGATCGGCCTGTATAATTTACCTTTACTGACATCCTACCTGGGTTCTGTAGCGTGATTACCCCGTGCGTTATTTATACTCTTTCGTGTCAAGTTTAATGAACTAACTTTTGCAATGAAAATGAAAGTCCTGTCCTTTTTTCCAGTCTTTGAAAATTAAGGGTTTTAACTCCTGGCTGATTCTGTCAGGGCTCTACTCTTCAGATGACTTATATCTACGAATAAAACTTGCAACGTCACCCATTGTAGCTTTGTTTCGCGCTGACGCTCTCGGGATGCACAACACTGACACATTTTTTCGGATCAGTCACAGTTTCGTCGTCAAATGTGACGGCTCCAATGTTGCAACACTTTAGATGCTCCAACTATTTATTCCGCTTATGCTTCGCGACTAATCTGGTGACAACTGCGGGGATAGATCGACGGAACGCATCGCGCTCTGCTACCCGTGTATCAACTGTCTAAAACCCTGTCAGCTGGCTTTTCTATGCTTAAAGAAAGTGCTGCATATCAGTTATTGTAATTTATTAAACCGGGAAATACGATCGGTATATCTGGCGAACTGTGGTACTCTTGCCTTATTCTGGTTGGGCATCCTCAGAACTATTCCCCCCTCGTCATTACCTTGGATGAAATGTCATAATTCATTGTATGCATTGGAGTCCCCAGTGCCAGACTATTATTACCCTATAATAGAATATTAGGCAAATAACGCGCTTCACGTCTATTAATCGTCTAAAATTTTGCACGATAAGCGACTAACTGGAGTTTAGCTCAGAGTGGTGCATGAGGAATGCTAGATCCCATCTCTATTTCCAATGCGATCCTTCTTCAGAACGTTGTAACTATTACAATGCTGTAGGCTAAAATTTTTATTGAGTATGATTTCCTGCACTTCCGATTGATAAAATCTAATATCTCATCTATTTTTTCTCGATGACCGTTGAAATTAAATTGCAGAAATGATGCCCAATCAGAAGTAGAAGCAGCAACTTGTGGCTTTAAATGTTGCTGATTGGGTTGCTGTTGATGAGACTGGGGTGAAGTTCCATTTTCCGACAAAGAAGATGACGTCGTGGACGAAAACTTACTGGTGATCGAGCTGTAGCAGCACGATGCAACGTAATCCTGTTCGCAATAGTCTCACAACCGGGGCATAAGGCCTTTCTTGACAGATCTGAAGGTTATACGACAAACCTGCTCCGATTTGAATTTTCTGTGTTTTATATTTTCAGTCTTATGTCCATTTGTGGAAGGGAATATTGATTTTATACCGCAATTTTCTTTTGGCCAAATCCGTTCTTATTAATTCGCAGCCGTTTTACAAATATCTTTTATTGGCGCCCAACGTGTGACCATCCCTCCGTTTGTCTGAATAACCAATTTCATCCAAACTTTGCACATCATCCAATCTTTTACCAATTTCGATCTACTTGTGCTGGTCAATATTTTGCTGAAAATGAATTTTAGAGAAGGCTCCACGTTGGGCGCCAATAAAGCAGGTTCCACGTTGGGCCTCAATGAAGCAGCTCATGAGGGGAGCTGCTGTGGCTTCATTTAGTAATAACAACAACATTAAAAAAAATACTTCCACTCTTTGTTTAGCTATTATTTCCAGCTTAACATCAGAGTCCACCAACTGGGGCAAGCGTAGTAATTGATTTAGAAAATATTTGAAAATGAAATAGCCTATATTTTGCATGAGTATTTGCAAAGAAAGCTTTCTTCGTTCATGTTTATTTTTATAAAATAATTATTCAAATTAATTACATTCTAAATACAAGGATGATAGGTTTACAAACAATAAGATGAAGGAGAGCGAAACAAGACAGATGATAATAAACTTATAGTGATATATGAGATTTATGATATTGTTTAAGTTTATGATTGCATAAATGACTAAAAATTGAAATATGAACACTCGCAGAGTATCACAATAAAATAACATAATGTCCGTTTGTGTTGTTGCCATGGCCAGTATTTAAAATATATTCCGTTTTCTATTCATTAACATCGTTTGTCATCACTACTTAAATGCGGTACGAACCCAAAGCTGGATAGGTCGGCAAGGATGGTAAACCTTGCAAAAGAAGTGGCTTTTGTAATAGAGGCTTAGCCAGAATTGGTGACTGATATAGGGGGGCAGGTGTCAAAATCTTCGCTACTGGCGCTAAAACTTTAGCCACCTTGGCAGCACCTTCACGTTGAACGACAGCATTAAAACCACCAATGGGATCTACAGTATACTCAACCAAAAGGCGGGTACCATCGGGTTCAATTAGGGAGTAGGCACCTTTGGTGTTGTCACCATCACGTGTTTCTTGTTGGCTCTTAATGTCACCGGTTTTTGGATCCTAGAATAGACAAAACGAGTTTTTCACAATATTTGGTACGAACTTAATTTTCGTGAATTACATTGACATCGTAGCTATAACTGTATTGAGGCTTTGCATCATATGGCTCAGGACCAACTACTTTGGCAATTTTTCCTATGGCAGGCAAGACCCCGGCATAGGCAGGATATATGGGAGCAGGCAGGACAACTGCTGAGGCAACTGCAATCAAGGCACTGAGAATCATTATCTAAAAGGAAAAGGAAAAAAGTAAAGGAACCATATGAATAAAATTGTATGTCTTTTTTTACAGCTGAAGGATAATAAACCAATTCTACCTTGTGCATCATTATGATTTCTATATCTTCCAACTTGAGGTGTGTTTATGCGGTTAAGCTGCTGCAGACTGTGTATGATTCTAGACGTTGTCAGCGATATCTTTTATAGGAAAAACTTAATTTTAAATACAAAATGTTATCGGTTTTACTATGCAAAATTGTAACAAATATTAATAACAACAACAAAAGTGCGGAAAGTATAACATACCACATGTTGAATGCAACAGTTGTTAGCTAGCAACCCAAACAACTTCTTTTGCTGCTTTTGTGGCGATTAAGAAGAAAAACAGAAACACTAACATAGATTAGCACTCATTTCTTTAGTAAGCTGATCAGTATAAAAAAAAATAGTATTACCAATAATCCTAAATTCACACATTAGAATATAGGCCTGTGTCATCCTAATTTATACCCTCCACCATAATAAGGTGATGTGTATTTTAAATTTGTCATTCCGTTTGCAACACCTCGAAATATTTACCGGAGACCGCACAAAGTATATATATATATATATATATTCTTGATCAGAATAATATTATATATCGATTTTCGCATATCCGCCTGTCTGTCTGTCCGTTTGTTGAAATCACGATAGAGACCGCAATATTTAAGATAGAGCTCTGAAATTTTGCACAGACATTGCTAGTACTCCAAGGATGTTTTCTATTGCAATATATTTGGTATTTTGGAAAAGTTTTCCCAATAGAATTTACTGTAATTTCGTATTTTGGGTTTTTAGGGTATATCACATCTCCGTACCAAAAATTATTAATATTAACCCATGTTTCAGGGTAGCCACCTTATAATGATACCCCTAATATCCTGTATTTTTGACAGGTTTTCCAACCGAATTGGCTATAATTTGGTATTTTGGATTCTTATTGTATATAGTATCTAATTACCAAAAGTATATTATTAATATTGACACAAGATTCAGGGTATCGCCCATATAACGGAACCCCCAGCATTCGGTATTCTAGGGAATGGCTGTAATTTGGTATTTTGGGTTGCAAGCATTAATTCTCTTCTCTTGAAACGGTTATCATACAACCATAACGCTCCGAACTGACAGTCGTGACAGTCGTTTTCGAAAAGTAAAACCCAATCATACCTTCGGACCAAAGAGCGCACCTAACTGTGACTTTTTCTGGATGTACTGACCTCTCGTCAATTATTTCAGTATTCTCAGACATAATCTCCTCTTAAGGGAACTCCCCCATTGTAACTTTGAAGACTTAATGAAGAAAAATAAAAATTGACAAAATGTTGTTGTAGTTGATTTGTTGTGTCTTGTAATTAAGGGGTTTTATTTTACACTAACTCAAAAATGTCCCTACAAAATTTCAAGTGAAAATCTCAAGAACTCTTGAAGACATAGCCGATTTATTGTGTCAGGATCAAGTGACGGCTTAAGGGCGTCTCAAACTTTAAACGCGTTTTTCTCTTTTGCGAATGGCGGGCACGATAACTCAAAAACTAATAACCCAATCGATTCCAAATTTTTACACGTTTCTCTGTGAGTGTATAGCTATCGTATGAACTAGGATAATGCCAATCCGTGAAGATCTTCCTTATTTTTTAACTTGGATTTTGGTAAAAAATCGGCGATTTTCCAAAAATATTTTTTCAAAGGTCCGCCATTTTTTTTAATTTTGAAGCTAAGTCAATAATCCTAGTTCATACGAGAGCCAGACATGTACTCTTTCTAACACCGTTGGAATTTTGGGATTCCAATGTACCAGTGAGGAGTTATCATGCCCGCCATCAAAAATAAGAACTTTTCTTCAATTAAAAAAAAAAACAACAAGACAAAAACAAAATTTTTTTGTAAATTATTTTTCTTCTCTTTTAAATCTTCAAATATATATGTGCAAAGTTACAAACCTTAACAAGCATTGGTATTGATTTACCAGCCCATTGAAAATCTTGAAAAATTAAAATCGAGAATGGGTGGGGTTCCCTTAATTATATGAAGAGAAGTTAATAGTTTTGGGTTAATTGATCGGTCGTTTAATGTAAAAAAATGTGTAAAAACTGTCTGAGGCGAACTCATTTCACGGTCTTCGTGTCAAAGTAAAACTAGAAGCCTACAAAATGGGGACTACGTCTCTTATGTATCATTTTTCAAAATTTTAACTGCATCTACCTTTAAATGATGCTGACATTTTGAAGCTCAATTCAAAATGAATCTGGGTAATTTGATATATGTTTTATGTATGTAGTATGCGCAGTTTCAGAGTAATACTCATCCGAATGTAAAAATTTTGTGCGATCAAATTTCTAAAAAACCTATTTTTCGGGCCAATTTTTCTGGAATGATATGGGTACCCGCGATCAGTAGGATTTTTTACTTTTCGGATGATATAAAGTCTTCTTCGTGAAAATCCATCTATAGACTCTGCGATTTCTTGTCGCTCTTACGAGCGACATTTTTGTAAAATAGGATGGAATCGAGTTAGAAGGACGAAATGTTTCACGTTCGATTTTTCTGAATAAATGTAATCTGAAAAACTCATACAATAGCTACAAATGAATATATAAAGCTACTATATCATAAAATAAAAAAGGATCACCAGCAAAAAAAAAAAAAAAAAGGATCACGCCATATCGCCGAATTTTAACCTATGGCGAATTTTACACCCACAGACGATGACATTGATTTTGTGGCACAGTGTAATCTACTTACAATTTACTGATTTGACTAATTTAGCTTTTTGGTCTATATACAGAACCAATCACTTCGATTTAAATTACATGCGCACCAAGCCATAATTAAATAAAATTGGCGGGGTCTTTATTGAAAATGTTCTGTGGAGATGTTTTTCAGCCAACAGGGGCTGTCAAATCACAGACAGGCTATAATATTTAGAATACCGAAAATGTGGCGGCACAATTTTATGATGGTGGCTAAACCAATTCGTGGGCCAATATGTATGTATAAAATTGGGTGTTTTGTTGTACGGTATGACAAATTTAAATTTTATGTTTAAATTTGGAAGACGAATCTTAGACCATTCTTCTTTTAACTCTATATTTTAAGAAAATCTTTCTCAAACCCTACATCTGTGAAGTGGAATATAATCTAGCTAAAAAATTTGTATTTAACTCGTTCTATAATTCTATGTTGAATTCAAACCTTTTAGGCTCATAAAACTGGCAATCGTATTTAAGGGAAACTTTTTATTATCAATAAATCTGATTGGTATCGGAGTCTGATTAGAAAAAGCTTGTCTCTGCAGCCCTGGTTACAGGTGTAGAACATATATACTGTTGGTCTTTATAATAGCCGTATACTATAGGGGTCTATGAGTTCTAATATTTTTAGTACTGTCATTAAGCACTCGAGGACGCAAATGTTCCAAGGCTCGACAATAATAGTTTTCTTAGGTATTTCTCGATCCGATCCCGCTCCTCTTTACGACTTTGTTGTTGGCTTAAATTTCTTAGAATGATGATCCTAATACGAGTAAGAGTATATGTAGTCTAATATGGCCCATAGTGGGCCCCATCAAATCCCTTTGGAGTGGATTTAACTATGTTCATACGTCTGCTGTCTAAGAAGCACTAAAATCTCAAATCCAACCAAAAGACGGGTACCATCAGGTTCAATCAAAGAGTAGGCACCCTTGGTGTTGTCACCATCACGTGTTTCTTGCTGACTCTTAACATCACCGGTTGTGGGATCCTGGAAAACAAGAATATCGTTTATCACAATTTTCAAATAATATTAACTTTTTTCACGTACATTGACATCATAGCTATAACTGTATTGAGGTTTTGTATCATATGGCTCGGGACCAACTACTTTGGCAATTTTTCCTATGGCTGGTAATACTCCGGCATACGAAGGATATACGGGTGCTGGGAGGAGAACTGCTGAGGCAACTGCCAACAAGGCACTGACAATCAATAACTTAAACAAAAGTAAACATTAGTTATGATTTAATTTGTTCCTTAATCCTTCTGAAGGATTCAACATACCTTGTGCATCATTATGACTTGTATGTGTTGCAACTTGTTGTATGTTAGGAGGTAACAACTGTTTGTGATTCTAAATGCTGTTTACAATACCTTTTATACCCAAAAAAATTAATTTTTGAATATGTGTTTTGATTGCCGGCAAAATCATTTGCCACGCATCAGGTTCTCAGTAACTATGCAAAAGTGTAACAACTAATAATAACAAACAAACAACAACAACAAAACGTAGCATAGTATGAGTGCAGTTGCATATGTACCCCACCACATTTTATTTTTTGCAGTTTTTTTTAGCAAAAAGAAGAGAAAACCAGAAGCACCAACAGATTTTTGGCTGATGTAATATCACTTGGTGTAGCACTCATTTTTGTGGTAATCTGAAAATTATTAAAAAGTAATTGGGTGACAATTGTAATACAATTGAATTTGTCAATTAATATATCATAGCGATTTAATTACTTTATGGTTATGAGGTAATACGAAAATTGTTTACTTTTAATATAATTTTTCTACACTCAATTTTGACCAGAGAAATATTGATCCTGGAACCTCCTTATAGTATTTCGAACGTCATAACTTGACTAGCTGAATTATAATTTATTTACGTAGTACCTTTTAGTCAATTATGATCCGATCATCACGAAGTAAATGTTTTGAATTAGTACCAAATGGACCCACAACTTTTTGAATGGTCTGTTTCACAGATCACAATTATGGGCACAAAACTGCGGACTTTAATCCGGAGAAGTTATCTTGACAATGACCAAACTTCGGAGATATAGCGAGTTAAAAAATCACAAATATCGAGGATGAATGAACCGATTTTAAAAATTGTTGAATCGGAAATTCAGGTAACAAACCAAAAATAGTCCGATTAAATAAATTTACCGCGTTTGTTTATTAGCTATCTAGCGATATGCATATATCCGGTTTAAAAATTTAGAAATCAGGGTTTTCTTCGAATTTTTTTGCGTATTCAAATTTCTTCGAAATTTTTTGCGTATAATGTTTTCGTGACATGACAGGGAAAAAAATTAGAAAATACCATATATATATTTATCTAAGATGGTAAATATGGTAGATCGATTTAAATTTCAATATTTCAATATTAGAAGTTCATTCGTAAAGTTCATTTTATCATTTTATATTTTGCATAAAGACTTGGGTCTTAAGGCTTTTAAACTTCCGGCGTTGCGGCTTCCAATATCGAGAGATATTGGTTGCCGCACATGCTTTCTATCTCACTCTTATGGTTGTTTCATTTTGTGTAGTTGTAGGCACACACATGCAGAGTTTTGTCAGTGGGGGACCATTCCCGAACTTGTGGAGCAATTGTTGGGAGGGGTGGGATGTATGGTGGATACCAATGTCGATAGATGTTGATGTTCGCTATTGCTTTATATCCCCTTTCAGCGATTGCTTCATTGTTGTGAGCCTGAAAATATAAGTTCAAATGGTAGTAGCTTTGGCTATGAAGCTGGACAGAGGCTATAGTCAGCGGGCGACCAGTCCGGAACTGTATAGTTTTTACTGGTAGTAGCTGGCAGAAGCTATATTCTGTGGGTGACCAGTCCCGAATCAGTATTAGGTTCTACTGGCAGTAGTTTCGGCTATGAAGCTAGCAGAGGATATATTCTGTGGGTGATCAATCCCGAACTATTTGGGGTTCAATTGGTAATAGCTTTGGCTATGAGTCAGACCGAAGGTTTTTCGGTGGCACGGGTGTCAAGGGCCCCTAGGTCCGTGGATCTAGCTTGACAAGTTGGTGTTGGGTAGCATCGTGCTGGCTGTGGTTTAAACCCAAATCGCGGGTAAAGTTTCGACTTGGTGTGGAGCTGCACTACAACCGGGGTGCCTGACCCTTAGAAAGGCAGGAGTTTTAGATAGGCTTCGCTCCTCATCCAAGGAGCCTCTGAAACCCCAAGAGTAATTGTGGAGAAGCCTCTCTATATTCAACGTGTGACTGTTTTGGCGTGCGGGGTAATTGGACCTTATGTTTTTCGGTAATGAGGTTGTATCACCCAGCTATATTTTAATTATTTTGTTATGCTAGAATTGGTCACCGACATTTTGTAAGGAAAGGAAGGAAAAAGGTCTCACAAGATATTAGAGCCCTTTTTCCTTCCACGTTCAGGATAAGGTATTTGTCAACAGCACACCTTCGATTCAGAATTTGTTAGGCTATCGAAGTCATAGAAATGACACTTTGCAATTTTTTATGCTCATACTATCCATTTGATTGAACGTTTTTACTATTAATATTCGGTTAATATTTCTGGGATTAAATGGATCAAAATCGTTATTTTTGTCTGTTATTCTAATAGTTTTACAGACCGCAGTTATGATTCAAACACCATGAATTTTTACATGGGAAATGGATCTGGGCATAACTACATGATGAGCGATGTGAACATTTATTAAAGTTTTATTATTCAAGGAACCAAGATATCGAGAAAATGTTATGATCGAATACTCTAAAATATTCACAAGGTTCTATATATTCTAAAGTGTTTTAGTATTATTAGAGGCACACAAGTATAGAGTAACTGTCACGAAAATTTGCACAGAATCGAGAGTTGAATCGAGAGAAAATTTAAGTCCATAGGTAGTTCACTAAGGTATCATGGCCGGCCCCGTCCTACTATTCTGTTTTTTTATTTTATTAATTATGAATTGTAATGTTTTTTTTAAAGGTCCAAAACAATGCCAACATAACTGAAACTAGTTTAAATTTATATAGCTTCCATATATTTTTTAATTCGACAGAAACACTTTCTTAATGGTCACAGATTGTTCATGGAATTTTTACAAGAAATTTCCCAAAATTTGTTTTTATAATTTCTTTCACACTTTAAACTATTTTCGAACATTTTTTGTTAATAATATGAAATACTGTTTTCTTCTATAGCAGTTTGCTGTTACCACTGTAGCTTGATTACGAATAAACCGATTAGCATGCATGTTTGTGGGATAATTAAGAACCTCAAAATCTCAAAATCTCAAATGAATTTTCAAGCTATAGTGGACAGCGTTTTCAAAAAAGTAATTTCAAGAAAACTTAAACATCTCTAAGAACAAGCTACACACCAAGTTCTTACATTGGATACTCATACCTCAGCCAAATTTTGTCCGATGGATTCGGTTGCAATATATACTTAAAATAAGTCAATATTTTTTTTTAAAATTAAAGAATAATACTATTTTTAATTGCATTTAAAGAAAGCTTTCTTTATTCATTTCTTGTATTTCAAATACAAATTTTGCTGTGTACAAATGAACTTATAAATAATAGATGAGGAAATGAAGTGTGATGACAAGCAAGGGATAAAAAATGCTTTAAAAAGAAAAAATAAAATTATAGAAATAAGAAAATATAAATTGTGATATTAAAGTAATATTGAAGAGTATCCTTGTATTAGAGACTTAAAATTAAGCACCAACATTCACGCAGAGTTAATGCCTCTGAATGTGTGTTTGTATGGGTGGATTGTATCATCATAGCCGTAGTTGTAAACATACATATTTAAAACTCTACTTAGATTCAATAAGACCCTAAAGCTGGATACGCGGACAAACCTGATAGAAGAGGTTTAGCCAAAATCGGTGATTGATATAGTGGAGCAGGTGTCAAAATCTTGGTAACCGGTGTTAATACTTTAGCCACTTTGGCGACGCCTTCACGTTGAACGATCGCATTAAAACCATTAATGGAATCTGCAGTATATTGAACTAAAAGGCGAGTACCATCAGGTTCAATCAAGGAATAGGCTCCCTTGGTGTTGTCACCATCGCGAGTTTCTTCTTGATTTTTAACATCGCCGGTAGTGGGATCCTAAAAAATACATGAATATATTTCCTCCGAATTTCTAAATGTTGTTAATGGTTTTTTTACTTACATTCACCGCATAGCTAAAACTGTATTGAGGATTTGTATCATATGGTTCGGGACCAACTATTTTGCCAATTTTTCCAATGGCCGGTAATACTCCGCCGTAGGAAGGATATATGGGCGCTGGCAGGACTACAGCTGAGGCAACAGCCAACAAGGCACTGACAATCAAAAACTGTAACACAATAAAATTAATTTAATTTTCTTATTCCTTCGGTATGAAAGCATCCTGTACACAACTCACCTTGTGCATCATTCTGATTCGGTAGTTGATTTTTGGTTGTTTGTCCGTGTTAACTGCTAACAACTGTTTGTGATTCTAGACATTGTCAACAATATCTTTTATACCCAAAAATTTAATTATGAATATGCCGGCCGGTGGTAAAGTCGAACCACCTCCCCTTGTTATGATGTTTGCAATATGTATGCAAAATTATAACGTGTAAAAGAAAAACGAAAGAAATCGATAGCCAAATTGAATGCAACAGAGTGGCATATGGACCGCAACAACTTCATTTGCAGCAACGCCAGCATATTTGGCTGATGTAATATCACATAGAGTGGCACTCATTTCTTTGATAATTGAAGTGTCCAAAGTGACACATAGATGGTGCTCCCGGAATTAGATATATTTATACATTTGAGCAGAGATGGTCCATCAAAAACAGTGACGTAAATGACATACATTTTCGACGTATATTACATACGTCAGAAACGTCGGAAACCCACCCAAAACCATTAGGTTTTTGACTAAATACCTATTTCCATTAATGAATTTGGAAATTACGTATGCTTTACTGAAATCCATATAAAATTTCAAAAAAAAATTCTCCAAAAAGTTTAGAATTTAGTATTAGTTCTAGTAAGGAACAAACAGATATATGTAAAAATATTATGTATTTCTGAAAATAACGCTATATGGTAATAATATTCGAATAAATTACGTTTTCTACATTTATTACATTTAATACGACGTTTACACCTTTTTGACAGTCGAAAACCTAAAAATTCGTCATACGGACCATCCCTGCATTTGAGAGCTGTTGGATCTGTTTTTTAACCCTTTCAGAGAAAAAAAAATTGGAATTAAAATCGAAAATTTTGTATTTAAGACCATATAAAGGCACAAAGTTTAGAAAAACAAGCAATGTTCATTTTAACTCTCGGCCAGGTTCGTCTGTCTTTCAGCAAAAACAAAAACATTAATAGTAACGGTACAAGACAAGGTTCCATAAATTGTCTTTCTGGTGGCTCTAGAAGCCACAAATATGACTCGAACATCACGATACTTTACACGAGTATTTAGCGGGTCAAATGTATCAAGACTTTTGTATGAAAATATTGCACATTATAGTGTATGTATTTACTCCGGAAATACACAATCTGAATAAGTTCCAATGAGAAGTGATAGACCTTTAAATTAATACCAATTATAGTGATTTATGTATTCGGATGTAAAAGTTATACATAAATATTTACAGTGGTCTACATATTGAGATATTATTTAATATTTAAGTTCTGAACGAATTTTAAAGGTGGCACATATAATATTTTCTGTGATGATCGGTTAATATTTCTGGGATTAAATGGACCAAAATTGTTATTTGTGTGTCGTTTTTTTCTAATCGTTCTACAAACCACATCAATTATCCAAACTCCACTAAATTTTACATTGAAAATGCGTATGGACATGTCAACATGATTATCGCTGTGAAAAATTAAAAAAAAGTTTAAATCTCCAAGAAGATTAGGTCTACATAAAATATTTTCATCGAATATTCTAAAATATTCCAAAAGCTATATATACTATAACAGGCTTTAGTATTATTAGAGGCGCAAATATAGGGCAATTATCAATAATTTTTGCACAGAATCGAGATTTAGGTCCAATGAAAATTTAAGTTCAGAGATAGTTTATTAGGATATCATATGGTCGGCCCCGTCCTACTATTCTAGTTTTATTATTTTTTTAATTAAAAATTTTAATAATAATTTTAAGGCCAAAATTTACACCACAACAACAATGCGAAAATATCTGGAACAAGTTTAAATTTATATAGCTCCTATATATATTTTTAATTTGGCAATGACCCTTTTTAAGGGCCACAAATTCTTCATGAAATCTACCAAAATTGTTTTTAAATTATTTTTTAAGTCGCCTAAGAATTACGGGTTTGTTCTATAGGACTTTGCGATACCCAAAATAACTCGATAACGAATAAACTGTTTAGCATATATGTTTGTGGGATCATTAATAATCTAATAATCTGTCATTAAGCTAAGCGAAATTAAAAAACAATATCCCTCTAAAGGAATGTGAGCTATCAACAAAGTCAACATTTCTATTTAAGGGACCCCCCCCCCCCTCTCTCCATTTTTTATTTTTAAGATTTTAAATGGGCTGATAAATGAATACATATATATTTGAAGATTTAAAAAGGAAGAAAAATAATTTACCAAAGAACTGGAACATCGGAATCCGAAAATTCCAACGGTGTTAGAAAGAGTACATGTCTGGCTCTCGTATGAACTAGGATTATTGACATCGCACAAAATGGCGGAACTTTGATTTTTTTTTTTTTTTTTTTGGGAAAATCGCCTATTTTTGACCACAAACTAAGTTAAAAATAAGGAAGATCTCCACCGATTGGCTTTATCTTAGTTCATACGATAGCTATACACTCACAGAGAAACGTCCCAAAATTTCAAATCGATTGGATTATTAGTTTTTGAGTTATCGTGCCCGCCATTCGCAAAAACGCTGTTTGGAGAAAAACGCGTTTAAAGTTTTAAAAGCCCTCTTGCTGTCACTTGATGCTAATGCAATAAATCGGCTATATCTTCAAAAATTGTTGAGATTTTCATTTGAAAATTTATAGGGACATTTTGGAATTAGTGTAGGTTCGAATTAAATCAAAATACAAAATTAAATTTTTTGAAACCGAGAATGGGTGGGGTCCCCTTAAATTGATACCAAGTATAGTGTTTTATGCTTCCGGATGTAAGAGTTATACTTAAATATTTACAGTGGTCTACAATATGATTTATTATATAATATTTAAGTTCTGAATGAATTTTAAAGTTGAAACATATAGTGCTTTCCGTGATAATCTGTTAATATTTTTGGGATTAAATGGGCCAAAATTGTTATTTGTGTTCGTTTTGGAAAATGGATATGGGCATGTCTATATGATGATCGGTGTGAAAATTTGTGAAAGTTTTATTATCCAAGAACCCATGTTCTAGAGAAGTTGACAACATATGAAAGAACGGATTTGATCGAATATTCAAAAGGTTTTATATTTTCTAACGTGTTTTAGTATTATCAGAGGCGCAATTATAGAGCAACTGTTGCGAAAATTTGCACAGAATCAAGATTTGGATCCAGTGAAAATTTAAATCCAGATGTTTAGCGTTTCTTTTCCCGTTTTTGAAATGGGCCCAATCCTAATCGTTCTTAATGTCTCTGGTGTTGTCATTCCAGAAACACTGAAGCATATTTCACAAATCTATAAGCAAATCGAAAAATGTTTTCTTTTTCTTTTGATTAAGACAGTTTATATTCCGATAGTGATTCTATCTTGACCTGCAGTTCATTAGGCTATCATATGGTCGGCCTCGTCCTACTATTTTATATATTCTAACATGTATTAGTATTATTATATGCGTAAATAAAGGGCAACTGCCACGAAAATTTGCACAGAATCAAGATTTGCATTCAGTGAAAATTTAAGTCTAGAGGTACTTCATATGGTTGGTACCATCCTACAGTTCTGGTTTTATTATTTTATTAATTAAGAATTATAATATTAATTAAAAGGGGGCCAACATTTACAACACAACAAAAGTGCCAAAATAACTTTTAAATTTGTTTAGCTCCCATATATATATTTTTTTAATTTTTTACAAGAAATCTACCAAAATTGTTTTTATATTATTTTTTACCTGAAAGGACACAAGAACCTTTTTGTAAAAAATATTGTAAAGTTTTCGGACAAATTTTCGACTACGAAATACTGTTTGTTCTGAAGAAGTTTGAGGTACCCTCTTTAGCTCGGAAACAAATAAATCGATTAATATATAAATAAGACCTTATAATCTGTCTTCAAGCTAGACGGAATTAAGAAAAATATACATTTAAAACATTTGTGAACTATCAAATTTAACATTTCGATTTTATGGAAATGGAGCATTTCGATAAGGGCATAAGGAGTTCTAAGCTATACAACGGGTTCTTATTTTGGGTATTCATATCTCATTCAAATTTGTCTGATCGTTCCAATTTCATTTTCTTTAAAATGAGTCAATATTTTTTTTAATTTGCAAGCGACTATAATACTTTTTTCAGAATAACATTATTTTAATTGCATTTAAAGAAAGCTTTCTTTATTTCTTGTATTTCAAATACAAATGTTGCTGTGTACAAATTAACTTAAGAATAATATATGACAAAATAAGGTGTGATGACAAGCAAAATATGAAGAATGAAAGAAAAAAGGAAAAATAAAATGATGAAAAATAAACAAATTAATTGTGATATTAAAATAATATTGAAGATTATCCTTGTATTAGTGACTTAAAATTAAGCACCAACACTCATGCAGAGTGCAGGCCTCCGAATGTGTGTTTGTGTGGGTGAATTGTATCATTCATCATAGCCGTAGTTGTGAGCAGAAATATTTAAATCTCTGCTTAGATTCGGTAAGATCCTAAAGCTGGATAGGCTGGCAAACCTGATAGAAGAGGTTTAGACAAAATCTGTGATTGATATAGTGGAGCAGGTGTCAAAATCTTTTGCACCGGTGTTAAAACTTTAGCCACTTTGGCGACACCTCCACGTTGAACGATCGCATTAAAACCATTAATGGAATCAGCAGTATATTGAACTAAAAGGCGTGTGCCATCAGGTTCAATCAAGGAATAGGCTCCTTTGGTGTTGTCACCATCACGCGTTTCTTCTTGACTTTTAACATCGCCGGTAGTGGGATCCTAGAATAGACATGGATATGTTTCCTCAGAAAGTCTTATGTTATTAATTTGTGTTTTTATTTACATTCACCGCATAGCTATAACTGTATTGAGGATTTGTATCATATGGTTCGGGACCAACTATTTTGCCAATTTTTCCGATGGCTGGTAATACTCCGGCATAGGCAGGATATATGGGTGCTGGCAGGGCTACTGCTGAGGCAACTGCCACCAAGGCACTGACAAACAATAACTGTAACATAAAAACATTATTTTCCTATTCCTTCTGCATGGGAAGGACCTTATACTCAACTCACCTTGTGCATCATTCTGACTTGCTTGTTGGCTGTTTGTTCGTTTTAACGTCTAAAAACTGTTTGTGATTCTAGACATTGTCAACAATATCTTTTATACCCAAAAATGTAATTATGAATGTTATATTTGTTTGTGAGTGCCGGCCGGTAGTGTTGAACAAACACCCCCCTAAATATCTATGCAAAATTGTAGCAAATAAAAGCAGAATGAAAAAAAGTATCAAAAGACAAGTTGAATGCAACAGAGTGGCATATGAACCGCAATAACTTCGTTTTTAGTTTGTTGTTAGCAAAGGAAGTGAAAAACGGCAACGCCAACATATTTGGCTGATGTAATTTCACATGGAGTGGCACTCATTTCTTTGATGGCGCAAGTACCCCAACTGAAATATAGATGGCGTTAACGGAATTAAATCTATATGATTTAAAAAATCAAATGACCACTTTATACATTTCAGAGCTGTCGGATTCATTACGAGTTAAAGGTTATTGTGTGAAGCAACTGTTGATATTTTGTCAGACGTTCGAAAATATTATAAGGATGCAATAAGTATTAACGGGTTCTAAAAATGAAAACATTTACATTAATGCAAATGGGTAGGATTTAAACTCTGAATTTTGGTCATTCGTACAAAAATTATACGAAAGGTACTAAATGTACAACTTTGGTAATGGGTAATCGAATAGATCAAGAATCTTCAAATATATGTAAAATACATTTAGTAATACTTAATAACTTAGCTCACTTGGGACAGAATATTTGCTCCATAAACCGAGCATAAAAAAGATTTCAAAGCGCGTCTGTCTTTTTTCAACTATTCTCCCAACATGGCTTAGCCAACGTTCGTTGCAGCTCGATACGTCGGACTATGTCGATGTCCGAGAATATATGGTACAGCTCATTGTTCATCGACGACAATACTCACCGTTGACACAGATCGTCACATGGATCTTCCAGAGAATTTTTCTCCAAGATCTGTCTCATTTGCTTGCGTAAGTACCCATGCTTCAGATCCACATAACAGCAGAGGTAGTATCAGTGTCTTGTAGAGTGTCTGTCTAGAGGTGGCCTTCTTTCTGAATTGCTTATTTAGCATCTGTTGGCCAACACTAATCTCCTTCGAATATAAAATCTATATAAAATCGTTGACTACATCGAAGCTGTAGTTCTAAAGTTCCACAGTTGGTCCGAGTCTACTTTGATCTATTCTGAGACTTATAGTAAAACTTTATGGGGAACATTTTTTATAGAATATTCTGACCTGATATAACACCGTGTTAAATGAGTTCTCAATCATTTCTTCAGCGTGTCGGTTGATGGTTAACATATTAAACGAACATAAAATGCAATGATTTCGAGGTATCCTAATTCGAATATTTTCAGATGTCTTGGAAATGGGAAATATTGCCACGACGTAAACTTTCAAAACGCAGATACACGTTTATTCTACGTTTAGCCCATCTTTCATTTTGCATCATTTTGCGGCTATATAGGTCTATCATCTCTGGTACATCCATAACATACTGTCACGATTTTGAAATATTATACATTTAATTTAAAAAATTCTCCATTCCGGCACTATACAGTAATTCCGTAGACCTACACAAACCATAGACTTTTTTTTAACTTGTGTATTTATCCCAATTTTACCCTTTGTGAAAAAGGTACTAGAAGGAGTAAACCGATAAATCTCGGACAAGCAGGCGGACATTTTGTAAATCGACTCTAAATTGTCTGAAACGAATCTAATACGAAGAAACTTGGGGTTTAAGCCCCCCCCCTTCTCGGGGTCAACAATTTTTTTGATATAATTCGAATCTACACTAATTAATGAATGTCCCTACAAAATTTCATGTGAAAATCTCAAGAACTCTTGATGATATAGCCGATTTATTGTGTCAGCATCAAGTGACGGCTGAAGGGCTTCTCGAACTTTAAACGCGTTTTTCTCCAAACATTGTTTTGCGATTGGCGGGCACGATAACTCAAAAACTAATAATCCGATCGATTCCGAATTTTGGGACGTTTCTCTGTGAGTATATAGCTATCGTATGAACTGGGATAAAGCCAATGGGTGAAGATCTTCCCTATTTTTTTACTTGGTTTGTGGTAAAAAATCGACGATTTTCCAAAAATATTTTTTCAAAGGTCCGCCATTTTGTTCTAACACCGTTGGAATTTTTCCAGTGAGGAGTTATCATGCCCGCCATCAAAAATAAGGACTTTTCTTTAATAACAAAAACCCGATATTTCAAAGAAGAAATTTTTTGCGATGTCTATATATCCTCATTAGCAATATGGTTGAGGGTAAAAACTGATATGACATTAAAAAGGATCTATTATAAACGATTTCGACACCATATCCTTACATAATCCTTAGGTCACAAGCATGTTAATATCAAAATAAAACTCCAAATTATATTCATTGCATTCATACTTCATAAAAAAGAACTCCCTCGATTTTTTATTTATTAAATTGCATATTTACATACATAGGTAATATTAATTAAATTATTTAACAAAATTCACACTGCTAATGTGAAGCAGACTTAAAAATAAAACTACAACGAATAGTGAGAGCATGAGATAATGAAGAAATAGGTAGGAAAACATAGCACAAACAAAATATAAAGAAAAAAGTTAACAAATAAAAATTTGCTATAAAAAAAGCTGGTTCTTAGAGTACAAACAAAAAATAAACAGAAAATTGTAATGTGAAAAAATATTTGTTTGGTGGCGACTACAACAACATAACTTCACATTGTGTACGTGTGTGCGGATATGCTTGTTCATGTGTTATCTCAGTTAAATGTTTAAACCTGGTTCGTTTGAGAGTGGTCAATAAAAATGTGCGTAAAATCCAAATCGTCAACGTTCACGTAAGCCTGTTACGCCGCCTAGTCGATCGGCTTAATGGTAGGCAGGATAGCCATGATAGGCCAAAGGTGCAGCTGGCAATACGGCCTTAGCTAGAACCGGAGGAGCATGATAAAGTGGAGCTGGAGCCAAAACCTTGGCGACTGGTGCTAAGATTTTAGCCACTGGGGCAACTTTAACAGCGGCCGGTTCACGATGGACCACAGCATTAAAACCATGAACAGGATCGGCGGTATATTCTACCAAACGGCGGGTGCCATCGGGTTCAATCAATGAATAGGCACCTTGTACAGCATCACCATTACGGGTCTCTTGTTGGCTCTTGATATCACCGGTACTGGCATCCTGAAACACAACCCATACATATTCTTTGTTAGGTAATTTTAATTACAAAAAAAAAATGACTTTCAACTTACATGGACATCATAGCTGAAACTGTATTGAGGATTAGGATCGTAGGGTTCGGGCACGGCCACCTTAGCCACTGCGGGTAGAGCATACTTGGCCACCGGCAATACAGGTGATGCAATTTTGGCCACCGCCGGCAATGCTGGTATTCCATGATAGGCAGGATATGCTGGACCCGGTAGGACCACAGCCGAGGTCATAGCCACCAAGGCACTGAATATCACAATCTAATAAATTTATTTTGAAAATTAAATTATTCATTTGCAATGCCACACCCTCCTCCTTCTCCTCTATCCTTACCTTGTGCACCATTGTTATTGTCCCGATTATCTGATGCTAGAACTTGGTCTTGGTGTTGTAATCCGTTTAAGTGCTAAATGCTGTGTGCCATTCTGGGCTATGACAACTATACCTTTTATACCGGCCGAAAATTTATTTTTCACGTTCACTTCAGAAACAGAATTGTCAATTTTGTTTTTCTTTTCTACTTTTGTTTATTTTTCATATGTTTAAGGCCGTTTCTTTCGCTGCTGTTGCTGAAGTCGACCACCGCCCGCTTATTGAACAAAAGAAAACAGAAAAAAGCAACAACATAAAATAAAATATTTATGCAAAAATTAAATCAGCATTACGGCCTATAACCAAACGTCTATTAAAACCGTTTTAAACGGCCTATTACAAAAATTGAAAGCAAACGGCCAACAAAAGTGACAACTACAAAAACAACAACAACAACAACCAACCGCAACAAATTCAATATCAGCTGTATAATATCTTAGATTAAACACCATTCAGTTTTCAAAAGAATATAAAATTTCTTGTCTACGTGATCACAATTGGTGTCTACGTGCTGCTTAATGGCTTCAAGAGAGGAGGGGTAGGTGTGCTGGACAAAGAATTACAATTATATTAAAATAGGCACTTCTATTTTAATATAATTTTAATTCCTAAGTCCTGGAGTGTGGTTTGAGAAACCATTTTTTTATCTACAACTTTTTTCACATTTAATTCTAAAAATCTATTTGTAAAAAAATTTCATTCAATGTTTATTTTTTCCATATTGCACATGGTACATCACTTTGAATACAAGTAAGAATTCTTATAACCATGAGAAAGCCATGGATGTGTTTTGTTTTGGTATCGTCCTCTGTCTCTCCTCTCACTTGTTGGTGGTTAGCTATGCAATCGTTTGATTGTCTACCACTCCATTCACTCGCTTGTGGCTAGTTTTTAATTCCATTGTTTCTTTATTACGGGCACTGTTATAAAATTCGCATATGTATTTTCCAAATTATTTCGATATAAATGCTAAAACAACACAACCGATTGTTACAATGACGCAAAATTGGAATATGTCAGTAAGTGAAAAAAATCGTGACAAGAAAAAGAAAAAAACATAAAATTAAAATGGGAAAAACACAACGACAAATAGTTTATGTGACATAGAAAACCCGCCAGCACCACCAAACACAACTCCAGTTGAAGTTTTTTTCGCGCTCTCAGACAATAAACCAGTATCTAAAGTTTTATGAATTGCATTCATAAAATGCATAAATCCATACATTGGCATGTGTGTCCGTCCCTCTGTCCATTATAATTTGTAAACACGATACAGGCCAGAGTTATGGACATATCGTCGCGAAATTTTGCGAGTAAGACTGGTTCTGTCCATAGAAAACCGACTTCCATTGTTTTAGGCAATAATCGGTTAATATTAAGGCGGTGAAATTGGCCAAAAACTTTATTTGAAATACGAAAAATTAAATTTGCTCCTGCAGGACATAGACAGTAGAAGAAGAATTGTCAAGGGTAGTGGCTGACCTTTACAATGATACCAATTATGCTGATGTATTTACTCGGATGTGAGAGTTATACGTCAATATTTACCAGCGTTCGAAAATAAACATTATGGTACCGTTCCATAGTGTTCTGTACCGTACCAAGGTGGATAGGTACACTAAAATAACGTATTGTACCGGTACACAAACACTAAAAATATTTTTAGCGTTACTGTTCCGGAGCACAACGAAAATCTTAGCGTACCTGCTGCGGTACACTAAAAAATCGTAGTGTACCGACAGCGGTACACTAAAAATCGTAGTGTACCGGCAGTGGTACACTAAAAATCGTAGTGTACCGACTGCGGTACATTAAAAATCGTTGTGTTCCACTTGCTGATACGATAGTGTATCGTTTTTTTCCGAACACTGATATTTACAGAGAGCGGAAATGTAGCGCTGATCGCTATGAAATTTTACATGTAGTTCAGTCCCTGTATTCTGTAACTTTTTAACAACATTCGGTATTGTCTATTTGACAACAATTTCATTTGTTTGTTTTATTGTTTTTACAACAAAAAAAGAAATTTAAACAATATCGAATGTTGTTAAAAGTTACAGAATAGGCCTACAGGTTATGCTTAATGGTTATGAGTTTTGGTCTATTCTGAGACTTATAGCAAAATAAAAACTTTATTTTTGTCTAGTGAAACATCGCAAATTTTTCACGGGGAAAACGGCCAGACCAAAAAATACGGTAGGCGTTTAAATAATGATCGGTTAATATTCAGCGGGTCAAATGAATCAAAACCTTTCTGACCCTCACTCAGAAAAAAAAACAACATTTAGAAAATATGCCAGGGTAAGAAAGAGGAGTTGTTGACCTCTGATCGCCCAATAAGGTAAAAATATCGCGCCCAATAAGTTACAAATGTCCAGGTTCGAAAAGTATTGACATTCAGAAATTCTAATACAGTGTGCGGATTATTTCAGAGGCTTGAGACGCGACACACTATGTCGCGAGTTCATATTAACGGCGGCCAAAAATAGAAAGAGTTATCGTAAGTTAATGAAATTTGGTACATGTGGTTATTATTGGGCTAAAGAGCAACTGGCAAAAAATTGGATTGATCGGACCAAGATTTGGTATACCTCCCATATAATGGGTCTTGAGAATGTCACTCTTTTTGGTCTATAAAATCTTTAATATTCCACCAAATTCAATGAAAATTTTTATTTACTTAGGCCTATAAAGAAACTGACCAAAAACTGGATAGATCGGACGAAGATTTGATATACCTCCCATACAAAGGGTCTTGAAAAAATCCGCATTTTGGACATATAAAATTGTTTATATTTATCTAAATTCCATGAAAATTTGTATGTCTTCGTCCAAATTACTTCAAAATTGGGCGAAGACAGTATTAGGTGTTGCAATTTAGTTGTTCATGTTTCAGGAACCTACCATACCAAAATTCCCTAAAAAAGTAACTTTCTGTACTATAAAATCGTTATATGCAGCTATATTAAGTATAGTAGTTTTATTTTTGTTATTTTAATAATAATAAAATATCTGATATACTTTAGTTACTAATAAATTACTTTTTTACCATTCACAAAATTTTCAAAACACACATCAGATATATATATATATATATATATAAAATGTTCTTCCCAAATGTACGATTTAGTATCATTCATGTTATAATTTCGGGCCTTTACTTTATGGCTGTTTAAGGATATTACAAGTCAAACTGACTAATAATTTATTTAAAAGCTATATTTTAAAACCAGTTCTCCCATATCACCGCTTCGAATAACTTTTTACCACTTAATTGCAAATTTTATGTAAAATATTGTACGATTACTATGTTCTGAATCCATCTTCTCCTTCCTATTTGGCCCTCAATAACTTAATTATTGGTATACATAACATATTTGACCATTCGCTTCTAATCATTTAATGAATATGCCATATTTTTGTATAAGGTGGTCACAAACAAAGTTAAATAACTCTTAGGACCGCAGGTCTCCGCAACTAATTTTTTTATTCCTTAATTTACACACTTTTTACCACTCAAATAAAAAAAATAGAGCCAAACTTTTTTAAACTTTTTTTCTGCTCCACTAATTTCAAAATTTGTTTTACAAATTTAATGAACTATGTACTACAAGTGTGGACGACTGTATACACCATATGATATCTATATACATACAAAACTACAGCGAATCCTAGTTTTTAACATCCACAGTAACCAAAATATACAATAGATATAGTTTATAAATAATTATCAGATTTGAACCTTTGTAGAGACAAAACTACTCGACATATCGATATGAAATTTCATATTTATTCTAATTGGAGTGTTTTCTAACAATACTCATCAAAAAATTTGTCTTTCGAAGAACTTGGTTTTGACCATTTTTGGTCGCGGTCGTGACACTGTGCGCACATTTCTGACGTCTGTGGCCTGGTGTGTGGATATTTTCTCATTTGTTGTGAAATTTCGTGGAGAGCGGATCAGTAGACAATGTCACACATATACAAAAAAAAATGTTTTGAAATATTTTTTTTTTTTTATGTTTTTTTTACACATATCGTACAGTGTGGGAAATAAATATATATTTCCCGGAATAAAATAAAATTATTTAATAAATTTATTTTTAAAAATATTTGGTCTTTTCTTCGTCATCACTATCGCTGACCATCTGAAAAAAAAATCGACATTATTATATTCTCTAAATTAATGTTTTGTGTTTTTTATCTTTACAGGTGAGTAAAAAGTCAATTTATTGTTAATATCATTTGTAAGTATTGTTAGATAATTAAGAATTTTATTTGTAACCGAACTCATATTAGAAAAATACAAAATTATTGTAAACTATTAAATTTTGTAATATAATTGTATGAGAAATAATTCTCCAACATCGACACCGTCATTACAGGGTGAGATAAAAAAACTGCAACAAAGTCAAACGCCATAATTTTTACAATTTTCTTTTAATTTTATTGCATGAAAGCAAAAATATCGGAAATAGCATCAAATTTTAGAAGAGGTTTAGATTTGTTCGAATTGGTCACCATTGGCATGAATTATGACCTTCAAACGGCCAATGAAACCGTCACACGCTACCCGTATGTTGCTCTGCGGTATTTTGGCCCATTCCCGGTGAAGCGCTTGCTTGAGATGATAGACACTTTGGTATTTTTTAGTGCCAACCTTGCTTTCCAAAATACTCCAGACACAATAGTCCAAAGGATTGATATCCGCAGATTTTGGTGGCCATTGCGCGCTGGAAATGAAGTGAGGAACCTCCTTTGTAACCATTCTTGGGTGGCGCGTGCTGAGTGCGATGGTGCTGAGTCCTGTTGGAATGTGCAAGGTCTGCGGCCAAAAATTTTGCGTGCCCAAGACTTTAATACACCCTCCAGAATATTTTCGCTGGTTGCAGTTTTTCCCTTCAACCTGTATATATCTTTGTAAATTTTTTTTTAGAAAATGTATGCTATCGTGCACACCGGAAAAATCTAATTTTATTCAAAATTTAAATCCCATAATTTCGTAATTTTTAATAATAACAAAAACAATATTTACTGTTGCATTCATAGGACTTTATACAAAAAACTCCCTCGATTTTTTATTATATATAATTACAAAAAACATATTAAGATTAAATTAAATATTTACATAGGTAGATGTATTACGTAATTAAACAACTTTATCGCGGTCAAACAGCCTTAAAAACTAATTTACAATACGAGACAAGAGAACCCGCACCAATGATCGGAACGGGGCGAAAAGCAAGCATCGCAAAAAAATGATGTATAAATTCGTGATTTAACAAAAACAAAAAAATAACTACAATTAAAAATTTAAACAGAGTTCTGATTCGAAATTTGCAGTTATTCGTTTTTGCTGATGACTATAACAAGAAGAACACAGACACTGGACCCTATATCAACCTGTAGCCCTGCAAGGGGATTGACGATATAGTTCGGCAAGAGTCGGCGGTGTGTGTGTGCACTCAATGATGGGTGTGTGATGAGATTTGTGCGGTAAATAGAAGCCAAGTCCGTCAACATATTAAATAAGGTTTTGCAAAATTCTAACAAAACTTCTTAATGATAGGCGGGATAGCCAGGAATACCATGGTAGGCAGGAAGTACAGCCTTGGCAAGAACTGGAGCATGTAAGAGAGGAGCTGGGGCCAAGACTTTAGCAACTGGAGCTACTTTAACGGCAGCAGGTTCACGATGCACCACAGCATTGAAGCCATGCACAGGATCCGAGGTGTATTCCACCAAACGGCGGGTGCCATCGGGTTCAATTAGGGAATAGGCTCCCTGGACTGCGTCACCGTTACGTGTTTCTTGTTGGCTCTTAATGTCACCGGTAGAGGCATCCTGAAGAAGGTTAAATGCAATTTAAATGACTGGGGTAAGATGTTGATCACCTAGGACTTACATGAACATCATAACTGTAACTGTATTGAGGATTGGGATCGTAGGGCTCAGGTCCTGCTACTTTGGCCACAGCTAATTTGGCAACGGCAGGTAATACGGCTGGTCCATGATAGGCTGGATATGCCGGGCCATGGGCATAGGCTGGATAGGCGGGACCAGGAATGACAACAGCCGAGGCCACAGCCAAAAGAGTGGCAAGAATTATCAACTGCAGAGCAAAGAAACAACATCGTCGTTCTTCATTGTGATGTTCCAAAAAAAAAATTACGGTCCTTTTGAAACTTACCTTTTGAACCATTTTCGTATTGTTCTTCTTTTTTATTTGGACTATGCTGTCGCAAACCGTTTTTATCCGTTAAAATGCTGAATACTGTGTGCGATTCTAACTGGTGTCAACAATTCCTTTTATACCACACAAAATTGTTTTATTTTCTGCCATGGTTCACATGAAAATTTGTCTACGCTCTCAATATCCAATTGTTAGTCATGGCAGCAAAACGCCCGCTTATGGCAAAATGCGTCCCAATGCAAAAAAACTGAAACAACAAATACAAAAATCGAACAAGAAAAATTGTTAAATATTTATGCAAAAATTAAAACAGTTTTCGGCCTATAACACTCAGCCCAACAAATCACAAACCGCAACAACAACAACGCCAACAGCCGAAATACCTATGGCACCTATGACACCGTCTATCTGAATAGAGCAACTCTTTTGTTGCATTGATTTTCTCGAGTCTACACGTTTTTTTAGTTGTACGCAAGAAATACAACAATAACACCAAAAGCAAAAGCAACAGCGGCAAACGCATATAACAACACAATTTTTATGAACGTAATCGCAATTTAAATCGTCGTCGCCCATAGTTTTTTGTATTGCCTCGAAATTGGCGGGATGGGGAAACAAGAACAACAATCAAAATATTATCTCAGGCCGCCAGCACAATTGCATGTAGGCCTAAATGCTGCGGCGGTAACAACAGCAGCCAGTCAGACAGACATTCAGTCATTTAGCCAAACAATCAACAACATTCATAACTATACCACAATTAGGAGCAGCAGTTACTTCTAGATTCCAACGGCACCATAATACACAATAACTGAACGGTACACTTTTGACAACAGTGGGTAGAATAATACAAATAGGATTTTTTTTCGGACAGAAAGCAAGTCTATTGACTGTCCAATGAAAGGGTAATTTTTTAGCAAAGCTAGAAATTTAATTCTATATTGACCGCAAACGACGTCATAGCTTCCCCGTTCTTTGAACAAATCTCTTCAGTACGTTTCCATGAGTCGAAAAAATTGAATTCCCAATTTTAAGACTCCAGCTTCATCTGTTCGCCTAAATTCAACTTGTACCAAATTTAGTACCATTTAGTACTTTTCGTGCACATAAGTTTGATTTTTAAAGCGACCTCCAATAGTTCATATTCTCAAGATTCCATCTCTATACGCTCAACTTAATGCAAATGGTACTAAATATGTACGAATAAGTACGAATTTCCCAACCTGTATTCCCTACAAAATTTCAAGATTCTAGCTATATATGTTCAATATATATATACAACTAGCAAAGTGTCCGCTACTTCATATGCGGAAAGGGAATACAAAAAAACCAGTGAGCGGAGCAGTATAGTCGGACGGGGCCGACCATATGATACCCTACACAACTTCCATGAAAATCTAAATTTCTGTGGTTCTATATTCTGAGATTGGGCAATTTTTCGCGATATTTGCACACTTTTGACTGGCTAGAGGTCAGAAAATGTTACTAATAATCAGTACAGCCACTCTAATTACTTGTCCAGATTCCCTTCACCGTAGGTTGTGTTGTTATGTTCGGCATTAGACTCGAAAAGTACAAATAATTAAGTTTTCGGTCCACTTCATCCGAAAAATTATTATCTGATCATCACCTAACATTTTTGGCGTTGTCCTTGACCATAACTGGAATCTCATGGAACATTTCAAAGCGATCCGCCCTAAAGTGTGGTAATAGGTTACTAAATAATATATGAATACGTAAACACCTGTAAATATTTAAGTGTAACTCCCGCGTCCGAGTACTTACGACAATATGATTGCTATCAATTTAAAGGTGAACCATTCCTCTTGGATATACTATCAACTTCTCGGGTCTATGTCCTTCAGGAGTAAATATAAACGCCATAGAATACACATTTTGTATTTTTTCACACAAAAATCAGGGTCCATTTTACCCGCTAAATATTGACCGATCTTTATAAAAACAGGCATGTGAAAATTCGCGAAGTTCGGGCCATAATTGCGGCCTCTGGAGATTGGTCCATAACTGTGGCCTGTATCGTGTTTACAAATTATAATGGACAGACGGACGGACACACATGTCTAGATCGACTCAGCTAGTCGAGACGATCGGTATACTTAAAAGTGGGTCTAGGACCAATATTTCGCGGCGTTACAAACTTTTGGGGCTGCACAAAGCTATTATACCCTGACAACATAGTTGTGTAGGGTATAAAAAATAATTATAATATTTCATATGGAAATCGTGAATACTGTATATTTGTTGTACTATAGTTCTGAATTCAAATACGTACAGGAACGCATAAGTACACATTTTCAAGACTACCTTCATACCACCAACACCACTAAATTTAGTACCAGTTAGAACCAAAAATCCTTTGGTACCTCTCTCTAACTCTCCGTCAGTGACCCACATTCCAAATTTCAGCTCTCTCCCCTACCCAAATCCAAATTTAGTGCATTTTCTTTTCTATTAACTATTTGCACACATAAATTCGAGCTTCCTAAGTAGTCTCCATAGGACAATACTACACTTCAACAGTTATCTAAATTCCAAATCCCAGGATTCAACCAAATGCGAATTGTTCCAAATTTAGTATCATTTAATATTTCTAAAACTACACCAATCCTACACTCTAACAGTAATCTTAATTCCACCAAAGTCTAAATTTTACCAAATTTAGTACTTTTCGTGCTAAGTACAAATTTCCAAATTTACCACAATTCCGCCTTCAAATATTAATCGTAAGTCCAAATTTAAGAAATCCAACTCTTTCTGTTCATTAAAAACTAAATTATACCAGATTTGGCACAATTCTGTACTTTTCGTACCCATAATCCAAACATATCTCAATATTCCAAACTTGCTTTCAAATAGTAATCTTAAGTCCAAATTTAAGAATTCCAGATCAGTATCTTCTCCAAGCTGTACCATTTTGTACTTCTGTACTCCCACAGTAACCTACGTTGCAACATTCAGGATTCGAGTCCTACCCGTTCAGCAGATTCAAACTGTAGCAAATTTTGTGTTTTTCGTACCCATAAGTACGATTTTCCAACACTACCTCAGTCATGCTCTCCATTAATAACCATAAGTCCAGATTTTAGGATTCCAGCTCTATCCGTTCACCAACATCCAAATTGTACCAAATTTAGTACAATTTATTACTTTTCGCAGATGTAAGTACGAGTTTCTAAAACTTCTTCCATTTCACACTCCAACAATAATTTTAATCTTAAATTTCCGGATCTCAGCCCTATCCGTTCACACAAAAACAATTTGTAAACTATTTAGTACCATTTAGTACTTTTCGTTTCTTTAATTAAGAATTTCCGAAACTATCCTACACTCCAACAGTAATGTCAATTCCAAAATTCTGGGGTCCAGCTCTATCCGTTCATACTTAATCAAGCTGTATGAAATATAGTAACATTTAGTACACATAAGTACCATAACTCAATTCTATATTCCAACAGCAACCACTAGACCAAATTTTAGGTTTCCAGCTCTTTCCGTTTACCGAAATCCAAATTGTACCAAATCTAGTGCCATTTAGTACTTTTCGTACACATAAATACGAATTTCCAAAGATGTCTCTGTAGGTCAATCGTCAACAGTAATGTTATTTTTAAATTTCAGCTTTTCAGCTCTATCCTTTCGAGCATAATCCAAATTGTACTAAGTTTAGTACCATACAGTATTTTTCGTACCAATAATTACGAATTTCGTAAACTACCTCAATCCGATACTCCAACAGTCATTTTAATTCCAAATTTGAAGACTCCAGCTCTATATGTTCACCTAAATACAAATTGAACCAAATTTAGTACAATTTAGTACTTTTCGTACACATAAGTACGATTTTTTAAAGGCTACCTCAATCCTTTACTTCAATAGAAGTCCTAATTCCTATTTTCAGGATTCCATCTCTATACTCTCAAATAAATGCAAATAGTACCAAATTTAGTACAATTTAGTACTTTTCATACACATAAGTACGGATTTCTTGAACAATTTTTATGCATCAACACCACTTTCCAACCCTTATTCCATATAAAATTTCAAGATTATTGCTATATATGTTCAATATATATACAATTAGAACTAAATGTAGTAATATTTAGTACTTTTCGTACACGTATATCCAAAAACCCGAATATCCAAAAACCCTTCTGACACCTTTCTAACTCTCCATCAGTGACCCACATTTCAAATTTCAGAATTCTAGCTCTTCCCGTTTGCGTAATACAAATACAAAGGGTACCATATTTAGTACATTTTAGTACTTTTCGTACCATTCTAGTTTGAATTTCCAAAAAAACCGCCTTATATCACGGCTAGACACCAACAACAACCCACACCCAAAATGTCAAGTTTCTAGCTTCAGCCGTTTCGTCAGGGCGATGGTCTGTCTGTCAGTCACTCACTCACTTAACACTAAGCTCTTTTATATATTAAGATTTGAACTAAATTTAGTAATAATTAGTACTTTTCGTACAATTATAGGTCGAATTTCCAAAAACCCCTTTGTACATCTTTCTAACATTCCATCAGTGACCCACATTTCTAATTTCAGAATTTCAGCTCTTTCCGTATGTCTAATAGAAATGGTATCATATTTAGTATATCTTAGTTCTTTTCGTACCCTTCTAGTTCGAATTTCCAAAAACCCAGCCTTATATTCCGCCTAGACACCAACAACAACCCACACTCAAAATCGTTCCCTAAATATTAACGATTCATTACCAACTGTGGTCTGCATTGTGTTTACAAATTCTAGTGGATAGACGGACGGACGGACACACATGTCTAGATCGACTCAGCTAGTCGAGATATGACAATCGGTAGACTAAAAGGTGGGTGGCGGTGTTATAAACTCTCACAAAGCTATAATACCCTGACAATATAGCGACGAGTGACGAATTTCGAACAAATATCGAACGTGAATTGTCGAAAATTGTGATTAGCGTCTGGAATTCCACTGAATAAAGACGTGTGTTCCTAATCCG